GTATATTGATTTCAAAAAAAAAGTATTTAATTACCTATAGTTAGGTTTAGTAATAGATATTAATTTTAATAAGAAATTTTAGTTTAAAATATCTTATTAAAGGTTTTTATGCAGGTTATCTCAAAATATAGAATTTGATGAGTTATTGTTTCTAATATTAAAGATTGATATGCAATATTAAAATATCTATATATTTTTCTAGATGTAGTCACCACTAAATACTGATGATAGCATAGGATAAAATAATTTTTACCAAATGGCTGATTACATATAAAGTCCTAATCAAACATCCTGCTTAGATATTTTAGAGACATAAGTGGGAATCTTCGTTTAGTAAAGATTTGAATTTTTCTAAGTGATGATAGGTATAACTACTTAATGTAAAATATTCACTAGGGTTTAGACTCCAAATGTATTTAGAGTATACGCAGCGAATGATTAAGGATAGTAGATTGAAGAAAAAGAATTATTCAAATATAAAAAAAAATCTTCAGCTTGTGCAAGATTGACATTAGGGTAACTCTTATTGCAAAATTTAGTCCACCTTATCGACCATTTGAGATGTTTGTTAGTAATTATTGGTGTAAAGACTTTTAGCCTAATATGGATTAATTATTTTAAGAAAACTCTGATCGAATTGTATTTAGATTTGATAGATAGTATGCATGTACTTGCTGTTGTTTGAATAGGTTATTATATTTAATTATGTAATTGATGTATAATATGTTGAAAATAGTTAAAATAAGAGTTTAGGTTATATTATTCAACCTTATTATTGTTTTACACTTGGTTGTCATATTTATGATTCTTAAGATAAATTGAAATAAATTATAGAGGGTAGTTGTTGCTAATGTTATTTTTGTGTAGATGTCCATGCAGTGATTAATGTAATAAAATTGATTTTGATATAAAAACTTCAAAGTAAATAATTAAACTAGTTATTGAAGGTTGTTGCTCCTATGAAAAAGTAGATTAAAGGCTGTTGTTAAAATTGGGCTAACATCACTGATAATATTTTTGTTGTATTTCCTTAAAATGCATCAAAAGAAGATAAAACTTTAATTCTAGCTGCCACAATTTTTTTGATTACATGTATTTTGAGAATAAAGATGGTCCATAACCATCAAATTGAAAGTAATGATTATTATTCAATTAAATCAATTGTGTATCATATATAATTAATTATTTTATCTTTGAACTTGAATTAATAGAATCCAATTAAAATAGTACTCTTCATAGATTATTGAAATTAATAAATGAAATATAATCATTTATATTATTAAATTACTAATTTAATGTATAATCTTTTATCAAATTTTAAAATTACATTCGAATGCGATTTCTGTTAGAATAGCAGTTAAATACATAATTTTAGATCAAATGATTTTAAAAAATATCTCAGAAATTAAGTTAATATTATTTTTTTAATTTATTGGTTTATATAATATTTAATTGAACGAATATTATCGAATGACAATTTTTAATATTAAACTAAAAATATTTTTTTTAATTTATTGAGCAGTAATTCCTTAAACATAATCTCATTCAAATCTTTATTAATTTTCTTATTGTTAATTAGTAGAACGTTTTACAACATTAGAGTATTGTTGGATCTAAAATCAAAGATTTTGGATATTTAAATAAATAAATTTTTCCATTAAACTGAAATTGGTATTTAGAATTCTTTCTAAATGTTTTTAATTTCCTGAATCACATAATTATAATTATAACTCCAATCCTATACATATATATAAATAGCCTGATATTAAAATATTTTCTAATAATGAATTAAAATTCGACTTCTCATTACATTAAGTCCAAATGTAAATTATTATATTAAAAAATAGTACGTGAGCTAAATTTAGAAGGTAAATAAGATGAAACTTTTGAATAAGTAAACAAAAATATTGAGAATAATAAAAACAATATCCATTTATATAGAAAAAAGGGTAGATTTTGTTAAATTTAAATAGCTAATCTTTTATCTTAATTGGGAAAATTATAGGAAGTTTTACATACTTGGGAATAGGGCATTTAAAATAACATTCATGATATCAATTTTTATTAAGAAAAAGGCATTCCTTATTTTACAATATATTAGCTTAAGTACTAAGGAATTAGGGTAAATAGAATGAGATTATCGAATTATATGATTTTGGTATAACAAAAAATGCTAAAGATGTTTCATTTTATTTTTTAAAATGTATCAGACTAAGAGTAATATTCATTAAAATAGAATTTTTATAATATTTGAAAAACATAAATTTAAAGATATAATTGAATGTTGGGATTAAGGAATTTAAAATAATACAGAGTGTAAAATATATTACATTTAGAAATGTAAATTTCTACATCATCTATATTCGAAGCTAACTCTATTAAAAACTTTTATACTCTAATTAATGGAATTCTAAATAATGAAGGATGGAGAGAAGTTGCAGACTGTTGGGGTTTAGGAATCACCTATAATAAAAATGATTACTCGTTTTATTTAGAAAATGGTAAACCTCATTTTAGATATCTTTAGTGTAAGCTTTAGAATAATTAGAAGAATATTAAGAAATATTGGAATGTTTAAATTTAGGGCTCAAACATAATAAATATCAATTGCTTTTATATCGAAAAAAAGGTAATTTTTAAATGTATAGAAAAAATGGGAAAAGATCAAGAAATAATAGATAATTATGATCAAGGTATTTAAATAATGGTACACCCTGGTATTTATGAGGAAAAAGGTACGAAAATTATTAATAATTTAAGCTATTGCTTTAACTAAATAATAAAAATGGAAGGAAGTAATATAATTTTGCAACTGTGATAAATAAAAGTTAAGTAACTATTTTTTTTTAGTCAAGATATAAAGTAATAAATGATTATATTTTTTAAAGTTTAAGCTTTATCAGAATTAAATGAATAAGATTAACTCATTAAATTATGTAATGAATTCATACAAATGATATGTACATCTATAAATTCAGAGGTTAATATATTATTTTGAATTTAGCCTAAGCATTATTTAAATTAGGGTTGTTGGAATAAGTTATTGAATCATGGGATGAAGCTATAAAAAAAATGAAAAAGTACAAGAATTTTATGTTGAACAAAGTATTTTAGTTGGAACTATTTTTAGTTAAAGCCTTATATCATTAAATTAATTCATGATTTATTAATGAATAAAATAGATATCCAGAGGCTATTCGAAATTTTAATATTGTAATCAATTTGTAATTAGATAATTAAATAGAAATATAAAATTGGAAAAGTATCAAATATTCATTTTCTATTTAGCGAATATCTTAGAAAAATAAAGTAATATTAGAGAAGCTCTAATGATATCTAGAATTAATGGAACAATTAGAAAAATATATTAAAAACAAATTTGATGACAAAATAAACAGCTGTCACTTTATTAAAGTGTTTCAAATAAATATTTTAAAGTTTTATAATACGAAAAGAATAGATTATTTTTTTAATTATAAAATTTTTTTGATTAATATTAAGTTACTAATTGGGAAATAAGTTTCCCTACTCGAAACTTAAATATGGGTGTGTGCTTTTTTATGAGAAAATTTGATTCGAATAGTTAATAGGGTCATCGCAATAATAGATTATTAAACGATGATGATGAATGGAAAATGTTAGGGGAGAATTAGCATTTTTATACTTTGATTATTAATTTATTAAATTGACACCTAGAAATTGGTAAAAGATAATATCAATTAGAACCAAAAGTAAATTCTGACTTTCTATAAGCTTAACTTTCAAAAAAAATTAAGGAACCCTTATAAAATTAAATTGAAATTTTGATGAAACAAAGTTTAAGAGCTAAAGAAATTCATTTTTATGTTAGCCTGATTATTAAGATGATGATATAAATCTACCATGTCTAACAATATGTTGTAGATTATATCATCGTTGATGAAGAAGATTGTGATGATGGTAATCATGATTCATTTGATAGATTTCATTAATGTTAATTTACATGTTAAGATGAATGTTGAATTTGTTTCAGAGGTAAACATTATCAATGCAAAGAAACTTATTAATTAATTGAGGCAATTCACACATGCATATCAATTTTTGGTGATTTAGTAGTAATTAAAAATGAATAAGGAGGCGATGATAATGATAATAAATTTTGATGGATCTCATCTTTTTTAATTCTTATGTTACATCCATTTTAGTTTAGGGATTTCTTATAAAATGAAAAAAATTTATGGTATTTAACAGGTACTAAATGAGTATTGAATGTGTAAATGGAATAGTTGCTAAAGGATGATTCAAATTAATATCCTTTAGATTTGTTCAATTTATGAGAATGATCAAAATATTATTTACTATGTTAAAATGAAGAATGCTTTCAATGTGAGAAATGATTCTAATATGATTAATAAAGTAAACAATGCATTCCAATTTTTGGCAACAATATAATTGTAGGGAATGAATAATTTGAAGATTAGATGATATATTATTTATAAATTTTTAAGGATTGCTAGTTTAAGTGTCATCATAATTGTTAACTATGTAATTATGGCTAATATATTAAATTTTGATGGGTTATTATTTAACTCTAATTGTACTAAATGTAATTATAATTTGGATATGAATGTCTGTTTTGCAATAAGGGGATCTGTGAAGTTTATTAGATGGAATATTTATTAGATAATTAAGCATGTTAAAATAAAAGCAGAACTAGTTATTGAAGATAATATATATTTCACAATTTCTCCTTAAGCTCAGGAATACTTAACAACCAATAGCATTGATAATATTACAATTTGCTTGGGCTATCTTATATATTAAATTGAAATAAAGAGAAAAATGAATTATTTTTTTTATATAAGTAATTGTGCAAACTATTACAAATAAATTGAATTATGAACAAGTTATGTTAAAGTGAAAATTGTTTAACAACCTTAAGGATTTGATTTCAGGCAATTAAATCAAATAGACATTCCATATTTGATGTAGTATAAAAAGTTTGAAATTTTTTTCATTTTACCTTTAAATAATAGATTTTTTTTTTAATTTTTATGAATATAGACAAAAGTAGAAGTTATAAAATAAAAATGATATTGAATTTAACTTTTTGTGATGCTCTACTTTTATAGATATGGCATAGAGTCTCAATCCAAATAATGAGAAAGCTTATTCTGATAACAATAGTTTTTGCCTTATTACTATAGTTAATTTTTTTCTATTTTTATCTAATTTGCAAAAGTACTAATATGCAACGATAAACCATTTAACAATTAAAGGTATTTTTTACATGTAAAATATTAAATAGCCGCCATTTTACTAAAATATAAGAAATATGCACATGCAATTTAATACTTCAACAATGTAATCATTCTAAACCATAGGAACAACGAAGATCTAGAAAAACAAAGGTTTAAACGTGTAAGATTATTGGCTTTTACCCTGAATATTAAAAAAATAAAATATAAATTATTAAGCAATCTTTCTTAACAAGATGCTATTAAATAAAAGTGCAAATGTATTTTTAGTTCTAATATTAAGCTTACACATTACTGGTTTTAAAAAGAAAAAAGGAAGCACAATGATATTTTTATGAACCATTAAGAATATGAAAACTAACTTCAGAGTAGGAATCTATTCTGTAATAATTAGTAAAATTATGAAATTATCATAAAATAATTAAAAATCTATATATCTATTTCTTCTAATGAGAATAAGGTTGCTGAGTTGTTTATTCAACTTTTTTTCGCTATTAGAAATTATATTTCAAGCAAAATTCTTCATAGGATTATAAATAGAAAATATCATAATCCGCCAAACTCAAAATTCAATAATTAATAATATCTTTATGAGCTCCCCTCTATATATTTTGATGAATAAAATCTTAACAGTTTAATTTCTAAAAAAATGTTATTAAATATAACTCTTAGTTAACTATCACATATTTATTAATGTATATAATATTTAGTACTTTCTACTTACAAAAAAAAACATGTTATGTATTTTATCTTTGATGCCTATTAATCGTTTTTGAATGCCTATTGAGTTTCATTCATAATTCGTATTTTTCAAGTAAATTTTTGATCATAAATCGGCATTCACCTTAGAATAATTAAATTAACTTTCATTGTCTCTCATTGAGAAAAAATAATGGAAAGTTTATAAACATTTTATACCCGTGTTGATTTATTATTTAAATTTTAACGAAAAATGTTAAGCCTATTGAATAAATTAGAATCCAGATTACGCGGAGGCGGTTGTGGATCTATTAAAACAATTCCCAACATCGATATAGTCATAAAGTCTGATATTTACGACATAGAAAATTACATTACAAGATTTGATTCTTTTGTCTAAACTATATACACTAAAGCAGCTCTTGCTGCTAATTATTAGAAGCTTAAGAAATAATGATAGCCATATAATGGTTTGTTTTTTAAGAGGAAAAAATTTACAAACTCATCAAGAATACTTAAAAGGTCATGAAATCATACGACTTAATTATAGATGGAATCCTAAGATTATTGAAAAGTTGTTTGATTTACGTCAGAACGGATTAATTTAAATGTTTATTCATCTTAAGGACTACAACTTCTCTATCTAAAGTGATATTTAGCTTCCATATAAGAAATGATTAAAGATTTATGAACTGTGATATATAAAAGAAATTTGTGGATATTTGTGATGAATTAAAATAATAAATTGAAATAGAGAAAAATGATTTAATTCAAACTTAATTGGTAATTTACCTTTTCCTAACAAAAACTTCTTTTCAGGTGGCCCCAAATGATGGTAAAGATAGGAATGATATTTTAAATGGTTCTTTAAATGGTATCTTTAACTCAATATTTGATATGAAACCGAATACTGAATTGTTTATGTAATTGTATAAAGGAGCCTGCCTACTTTACGATAAGTATGCAGTTTAAAAAAAAGAGAATAATATGAAGTTTATTTTTCAATTTATATGTTGCAATAGGAGATCATAAATAATTTAAAAAATGAAGGCTAACAGGATTTGGAAGAAATAATTATACAGATTGAGAATACACATTAAAAACTTGTGAAAAATTCTAGTAATTGGAAAAATCATTATTTGTGGATATAAATGATTGGAAAAATCTTAATATATAATCCTCTGATAACCAAAAAAAAATTAAAGCTGCCAAGCTCTTTCAATCTTGAAACAAAATGGAAGGAATATCTGAACAAAGGATTTCTGATTTAAATGAATCATATCAATGACTAAGCTTTAATTTTACTTAATTAATTTAACAATAAAGAATTAAGGTAAACTGATAAATTAATATTAGAGGACACTTTCAAAGAATGGGAAAACTTGATGTTGCTAAAAGACTTCTTAATGAATGAAAAAAAAGATAATATCTATTTCACATTTGGTTTTTATTTAAAATTACAATTAGAAAGTATTGGAAACTAAGATAATGAATTTATTTAAACAGTTTGCAAAATTTAATAATTCTTTGATTTCATCATCTCGAATAAATTACTAGATTTAATTCAAAAAAATGAAGAGAGATTGGGAGTAATAGTTAAAAATTATAAAAATTTTATGCACAAAAATTAGTATTATAATTTCACAATAGAATAAGCCACTTATAATTCGTATTAAAAAAAATAATTCTCAATTTCAAAGAATATTTCCAAAACACTCTAAAAATCATTAAAATTATAAGGCTTAGTTAAAGGAAATAAGATTTTTAGATGGAATAACATGAATAGGAAAAGATCAATGAATTCAAAATTTTTTAATAACTTAGGTATATTATGAAACTATTAAAATCAATATTATCAAAAACAATTTAAGATATTAATGAAATGAACCAGATGAAAGCATAATGTTTTAGTAAGAGAGAGTTAATAAAGGAGAAATTATAAAATTTAAACCTAGCAGATAAAAAATTATCTTTTGCCAATAAATTTAAGTAAAAGTTACTTGCTTTCCCTAATCCAACTCTTAACAAAAAAATTTTTGTGAAAGAAACTTAATGCATACTAAATCTTATCGAATAAACTGAAAATAAGTCTCAGAACTAGAAACTTTGTTACTTAAAAAGGATAACTTAATTCAATACTTTTAAAGTTATAGAATAACCTAGATTTTTATTATGAAAAATAGATCGAAGAACTTCAAAACTACTTTAATGAATTACTTTTAACTTTTAAGACATTTCTAATGTTACAATATGAAATTGAGTCTGTTTCTTTAACTGAAAAATTAATAGAAATTAAATAACAATATTGTTGTTAGCTTTCATATTAATTTATACAAAAATAAAGATTGAACATTTTAAAGCTGAAAAAACAATTAATTGCTTTCAAAAGAATGTTTTTTACATATATTAAAAATACCATTTGAATTGTAATTGGTAAAATTTTTTATCAATTTAGATGAGTTTCTAATTGATGTAGTTAAGAATTATCCAAAACGAATAATTTTTTGTGACAGTTAATTTTATAAATAAACTATTGCAGAATTAAGTGACTTATAAATTACTGAACAAGACTATTAAAATAATTTAGCAATATAAAAAGGAATTTTAGATTATAGAATATTTAAATTAACTCAAGAAGAATAAATGATTTAAATGGAAAGAATAGATTTAGAATTAATCGAAAAGGAATTTGGCGAATGTATGGAAGAAATCGATTCTTTATCTCTTCCTCAAAGAATAATGAAAATTATAAAAGATGTTTCAATAGACACTATTACTATTAAAAATCTTAATCAAAATTTATTGAATATTGAGAGAGAAAAGTATGAGATATTACTATTACAATTCAGAAAAATTAACTTTTAAGAAAATTGTGAAGTGTTAGAAGAACTTAAATTACTAAACAGTCAGATCTAAATAGTTGTTAAAATATTGAGAGCTTCTGTTAACCAAGACCTAGAAATTTTCCAAATGCCAATCTTAAAAAGAGTAAAAGAATTAAAACAAAAATTTGATGAATTTAACATAAAATATGATAAGAACAATAAAGATGAGAAGAAAATTAAAGAGGACGAGAATAATGTCCAAAACAAAATTAGAACAAATTTATCTATCATTATTATCATTCTATAAATAATACTAAAGAGAACAAGTTAAGTGAAGCAAAATTGAACGAATTGCTTTAAAATGTTACAAATTTTACTCTACAAGAGTGTTACGATGAAATGTATACAAGTTTTTCAAGCTGGTTTTAAAAACATATAAACCATATTAAGGAATCGCTATGCACAACTGCTAATATATAATAATTGGAAAAAAATCAAGTTAAGAATACTTTTCAAGAATTTAGAACCACATATTGTCTTGTGTAAATTAATCAGACAACAATAATAGTTAATCAACGAATATTGTTGATTTTCTCTATAAGTTAATGGTTGAAACAAAAGAAAAGTTAAAAATATCTAAGTGGGAATTCTAGGAAATTTAATTTAATCAAGATTATTTAGTTCAATTAACTAAAAAAATATACCTACAAAAAAACGATGAGGAATATGAAGTCAAATCAAATCAATAGGATTAATTCTCTATTGATTAATAAAAAAATGATGAATGGAAAATTAAATAGGGTTTAGTATTAACTATAATATAGATTTCATTGAATAGCTTCACAGAAACAATTACTCAATTTTGTTAAAAAACTCTCATTTAATTATGGGTCTTAGAAAAAAATTAAAGAGTTAGAAATTTATTGAAAAATTAACACTTAATAAGTTTATAGATGTAAATTTTGTAGAAAGATTGGTAGACTTAACATGATAGAATTGCAGGAGAGATGTAAAAACTGCTAAAGAGGATTGATGAATTGTAAGAATCAATTACCCAGGAGGCAAATCTTAACAAAAGAGAGCTATAATTGAAAGAAATAGATGAAACAACTCAGCATTTGGATGAATACATTTAAAATATCAGCGAAATTGGTTAATAACTCAGTTTGGTAACTGATTTTGTAAATCATTTCAGAAAGGGTTTGTTAAGAGTTGAGGGAAAAATAAATCAAATAAAAGAGTAACTTAACAATATGGGGAATGATATCAAATTTTTGAGAGGAAAATCAGTTATATAATTACTTGAAATTAGAAAATGGAGAGTGTTGAAGGAAGCAGCAGAAAAAAATCTTAAGTCCATCTATATACCATTAAAAACTTAAGAGAAAGGTAAAAATGAAAGCAGTAATTTGATGAATTTAGATTAATTTGATGATAAAGATGGAGAAGTGAATGAGTTTTTATATGAAGGGAAAACAGTATTGCTAATTCATGGATTAGCTGGATC